GCTCACCCACCCCTACGCGCGGCATCCCGACCCCCCTGTCCCCCCCTTGCAGGTGGAGGTGCACCCCCCCAGCATGAAGGAGCTCCTCGACCTCTGCTGCGGCGTCTTCTCCTGCCAGCAGCTCCGCAACCTGGAGTGCCTCATCCTGCGCCGCCTGGGCTTCGAGCTGGCGGCGCCCACCGTGAACTTCTTCCTGGAGCACTTCAGCCAGGTGCGGCTGGAGGCGCGGGGGGCCGACGCGGGAGAGGCGGCGGACGCCCGGAGCCTGGCGGTGGGCATAGCGGAGCTCAGCCTGGCCGACTACGCTTTCACCAAATACGCCCCTTCCCTGCTGGCCGCCAGCAGCCTGGGGCTGGCGGACCGGCTGCTGCGCCACCGCAGTCCCCTGGACCTGCGGATCAGCGGCTACCCGAGGCGGGTCCTGCGGGACTGCGTGGACCAGCTGCAGCTCCTGGTCTCGCTGAACAGGCAGTTCCTGCCGCTCCTCCTGCCCCCGGAGGTGGTCCAGAAGTGCCACCGCCTGCGGGCTGGCAGCGGCGATGCCGCCGCCCGTCACTCGCACCTCTAGCCGTCCCGGGCGTAGTGGCCTCGGCCGCGGGCTGGGCTGGGCTGGCCGCGGGCCGGGTCGTCGTTCGTGCTCCGCAGAGCTGGCCTTGAGCCTCCTCAGCTCCGCGTTAGTGTCACTGGACTTGGGAAACTAGATCACGTTTTGCACCTGATGTTACTGTACGGCAGTTTCACTGTCCCTCTGCCGCTCTGTAAAATCCAGCATGTAAATAGTATACGGGGTCTCGAGTACTTTATTATTTATTTGGAGGGTGGTCCGTAAAGATAATGGTGGAAGAACCCAACGAACGTTGAATAAACTCTCTTCTGCTTGGCACTGGTGCTCGTTTATTTGCTGGTGGTGTGTGTGCACAGCTGGGAGAGGAAACCCAGAGCGAGTTCACCCCGAAGGCTAACTCCAGCCCCCCCACCCCCCAATAATGATGCCCGATGGTGTCATTCCCCGTTTCAAACGGACACGCGCTGGCTTGGTCATGGCTGGGGTGTGCGTGTTTGTGTGTGGAATTAGGTGCGCTGACCTAAGTGTAGGAAAACAAAACGTTAAATAATAAAACAGCTGGTTACTACTTTTCCAGCAGGTCTCTGATCCGGGCGCATACTCCTAACTAAGCTGGCACCGTAGCAGGGGAAACATTCAAAGGAAGAAAACAGTCGTGATGTTGTAAAACGTTTGATTGTCTTCACTTTATTGCCTTCGTATCTGTGCACAGAAGTGATGTTAGAAGAGCATCTACGCCTTTGAAGTCGCCCTAGGGGGTGCTCGCCTTTCCGCGCAGCCGGGAGCGGGTGAACGGCACCTCCGAGCCCGGCCCGGCCGCCGGCGAAAAACGGCGGAGCGGCCGCGGCAGAACGTACCCACCGGCCCATGACAAGGGGCGAAGGGTCAGCCCGTGCTGAAATCCGCCGGCGATTTCGGCTGGGCCCGGTGCGGTGCGGTGGGGGACCCTCCCCCGGTGCGGGGCTCGGCCAAGCCGAGATGCCGCCGGCCGCTCGCTTTGGTCTCCTGCCCCCGCCGGACGCCTTCAACGCTGACGGCCCCTAGCCCTGCCTTTAATAAATAGCCGCACAGAAACCAGCCCAGCCCGCAAGCGGACGCCCACACGCGGCCCGGCAGGGACGGGGGGGCGGCGGGGGTGTCTCGGCAGCGCCCCTCCTCGGCCTTCCCCCCGGGGCGGCCCCCTCGGC